GAAACCTGCAGAATTACTGCTGATGATAAACATCTCATCCAACAGTGACTGCAAAGTAAGGCCACTAATTTTTACATTGCCTGATTTCACTGTTCAAATTATATGAAAATAACCATACAGTTTTTCAGCACTTATATATTTTAAGTTCATCAATATATTTTAAATGAATCTTGTTTATTTTCCAGTCTCTTCAGACCTATTCCATAAAATGTATCTGCTATTCTCAATATACACAGCATCTTACTATGACTGAGGTTATAAAGACAACGAATGCTGGCCTGTTAGAAAGCCACTACTCAAATTTTTTCCATGAGTTTTTAAGAAGTAATACATCTGCCTTATTTATCTCATACATACTTTGAAATAAGGATTTAATGAGGTCTTGAGTATGCAAGTAATTCAAGAAGGAAAAAAATAATTTCAAATGAAGAAAACTAAAATAATCATGGTTTTAGATAAGTATCTGTACAATAATATTTTGATAAGGAAAAAGAATGAAGAAAGACAGTAGGATTAAGACAGTAAGTAGCATACACCAGAAAAAGAAAGACTTCATGTCCAATCCTTTATGATTCAGGGAAAACGTTCAAGGTATGGGCCATGATGTCTAGGCACAGAGTTCAAACTGTAACAATTCAAATGGATTGCACTTAAGAGTAAAAAAAAAAAAAAAAAGAGCATTTTAGAACCACACAATGGGAGAAAAAATCAGAATAACTTTTGCAGCAGTTTGGTGAAGGTTGACTTTGGATGGTTTTCTTTTTTTGATGTTATTGTTAGCTGTTCTTTTAAAAATGTGATTTTCTCAAGAAGCACTGAAACGCATATATGAAGATGGATTTCAAATGTTCAAAGTACAGAAAGAACTTTGCACCATGTAGCAACAAATGCTTCTGTTTCTTCAGGACAATGTCAGGAACATCAAAGTCCCTTGTAGCGTAACCCACCCAGAAAAGAAAGGACACTAACAGGAAATTCAAGAAAAAATAGTTCCAACTGTGATGCTTCAGCCTCCCTGGAATGGAAAAATACAAAACATTATCACCCTATAGTTACTTGGTGGCCTCACTAGAACAGACGCAGGGGTCCCATCCCCAGTGGTACTCAACAGCTGCTATTAAAACAAAGCCCCCCAAACTCCCACCCTTCCTCTTCAAAGATACTACCTTACTGTATTTGCTTGAAATTTCAGCCCACAATCAAAGAGAAAGTGAACAAACATTAATTTTAAAGGTTAAACAGATTGCCTCTGCATGGGAAGGTTGAAGAAAGATAGAAAATCTGGTCTTTTAAACTCTTACCATAAATCACATTTCCCCTCCTCCACCCTACTTTTCCTCCTCCCCAAAAAGCTGCAGGACTCAACCACAGCCCTTTAGAATCAGTTAAATTTCAACTCTCTGGTTTGTTTTTTTTTTAAATAATTCCTATAAAAATTGAATGAGCAACATCTACACATGCTTAGCTGGCAGTGCTGGAAACCATCCACCTCATAAGTTCTCAGCAGCACTACAACATCTGCATACCAACATAACCATGCTCAAAGTTAATAAAATTATATGTTGTAGATATAGGAGAGAATTGAAAAGGTTTAAATCACACAAAACTTAGGTAAAAAAATAAAAACTTCTAGAAGAAGACAGGTGGAACACATACACCTATGGACACACACCTCCAGAATGGCTATCCTAGGTGGAGAAGCAGAAGAGGTCTCATCTAAGATATCATCCTATGCAATGTTTTCTACTTTGCTATTCTATTTTATCAGTATGATGCAATCAAATGTCTAATCTAAAGATCAATACTTTCCCAGCATACATTTAAGTATTCTTCAAATCCAGATAAACAGGCACAAAGCAAGAATAAAGCATTTCTCAATAGCAGACTCAAGACAACTGTTTTTTCCTTAAGTTAGAAAAGAAAAAATGTCAGCTCATGAAGTATTATCCCAGACACATTCATGTAAACATCAGTCAGCCTCCAAAACACTTCTGGATGTTTCCTAGAATTTCAAGTCATGGCACCTGAAGTCCAAAGCAACTTTAAAAAAAGAGTAGGAGAAAAAACCCAACATTCTTTTTTAAAGTTTGAAGAATGTTTGCCTATTCAAATTAATTCCTTCTGTGTGCTATTACCTGTATATTACTACCAGTCTATTGTATTGCCTATGCTCCTATTTTATTTGCAACAAATGTAAATATACATAATGCATGAACTTGTCATTATTAGCCTAGTTAGATGAATCATATTTGCTCATATTTATAAATCAACAAGCAATATACAGAAGAAAGATCTTAGATGTTTTTCCCCTCTTTCTTGAGAAGCTTAAGCTGAACTATCTAAAAATATAGACCCATTTTTGGCACAGAGAAAAGCATTAATATGCTGCAGCTCCTACTCTGTGTATACAGGGAGCTAAAATGTATACAACTGCCTCTACATTTTGACTATTTTATGTTTTAAAATATTCTTTAAAAAGAAACATGCACAAAGGTGCAGGAAAGCTTCACAGAAATTAAAGTCATCCTGTGTCAGAGGAAGACTAGCAAGTTCCTTGCGTTTTAAAGAAAAAAGAAAGAAAGAAAAAAATACAGTTGACCTGGTTTCCACTTCCAACGCTGCTGCTTTGGCAGACTCACAGTTTTCCTCTGACAGCTTCCAACAAGATAAGGTGACAGAGACAGGGTAATAAATTAAAACTTCCTAAGCTGGAGAAGGCTCAGAGGAGGAGAAGAAATGGCAGGAGGGAGACTAAAAATACACAAACATGTAGCTGCCAGAAGTGATGGTAGAGGCAAACAGGCAAGCCGACATTTGTGGAGGAGAAAGATTTTCAAGTAGTTTAAGAACCTATGGCCAAACACCGAAGTTCTTTGTTTGCCAGTCCTCCTGATACCTTTAATGAGTCTTTTCCAGAACAGCTTTGGATACTGAAGCCTGCAGAACTTCAACAGGTTTTGTTTTCCAAATCAAAAAAAAAAAAAAAAAAAAAAGCCTTTTCACTACTTCAGAAGTTAAATACTTAACATGCAGATAAACAGAGTGGACCTTAAAACATTTTCAACTTAAGCTAAAATTCAGGCAGTCGAACAGTGTACGACACGACTCCTATGCCATTACTATATTCTAGATGCAGTCCATGTACTTGGCTGTGGGCTTCTCAATCACCAATGAACTCGGGTGTGCGCAAGTGACGGCAGTACTGCCTGCTGACAAACTGTTTAACTTATTTTCATTTTTTTATGGCAAGTGCTATTGGATTTAATACTTTCCAAGAGTTTTCCCAGCGATGTGAGCTTTAGCAGGACAAGGCCAATCAACACAGCAGGGAGCAAATGGAAATCAGAACATCCCTTATAGATGAGACGCTTTAAGCTTTCAGCATCTAACCCCAAGACTTCAGAAAATCATGTAACATAAAGGCTCGTAGCACAAACTTTCATCTTTGCGCCATGCCTCCCCCTCGCACGCAAGGACACAACGCTGCCCTTCCACTGCCCTCACCCCCTGGCCCCACCTGCAGGGCAGCGGCGTGTCCCATAGCACAAACCGCGTCCCACCAGGCTGGTGGCTGAGGCGGGACATCACCCACCGCCCACGTATGCCGTAGGAAAAGCGACTCCAGCAAAGCAGGAGCTGAACACCACTAAGTGCCCACACGGAGCTGCTGGCTCAGCTGCCTAGAAAAATGTCTTCACACGAGATCTCAAGTGTTGCCACCAGGTACTACTTGGAAACAGCCCCTGCACCACCACCGATACACAAACTACGGGCTAGGAACTTCTCTATTAGGAAGTGCAAGCGCAAAATGACAGGAGATATATTTTTAAAGGTATTCTTAAAAGCATAAAGTGAAGAATTTTAAAAGCAAAGGAAGAAAGAGACTTGAGATTATTCCAGCCCATCTTCCTTGCCAGTAGAAGAGAATTCCCAGTTGCACATTTTCTAACCTAGGTTAAAACACCTAAGTGGTAAGCCTCTATCACTTTCTCTGGGACACTTCATCTAGTATTTTCCACAGTGAGATGCCATTTATTATTTTCCTCTTCCACAATCACAGTTATCTGTGAGGCAAACCATACCTTTCTAATTCTTCTAAGCTTTCTTCATTAATCAACTGATTTAAGCCCTGATCAATTTTTGTTACTACCCTCTGAATTTCTTCCAGTTGGATCAGTCTCTTTTTGGCAAAGAAATAAAGATAAGACTCCAGGTAGAGCTGAACCCATGCTACTAAGGAAGAATTATTACATCTTGGTTTATATCTTCACAAGTGTAAATCAAACAGTACTCTCATTTTTTTCCTCTCCCATTAAGCCAATCTTTCCTCACACGTACCAGTGAAAAACAGAAACAACACAACTTAAATCATTAAGCTTCACATATAACACTCCAACCTCAAATATGTGTATCTGTAGCTTTTGTTATGTACTTCACTAAGATGAGTCCTTCTAAACAAAATATGAAGGTTCAGGCACCAAATATTTTTAAAACCTTAGACTGAAGTATTACCCTGGAAAGAAAATTCTGGGCATAAAGTTCTTACATTCGTTATATAATTCAGCAAAGATATTTCCTTCAGTTTTGTAATTTGTTACCCTCTACATTTAAGCAAATCTCCTTTCTTCTTACATTTAAAAAATTGTGTAAGACAGGAGTATATGGTCAGAAAATTATCATCACTGTTCTTCCATTTCTCCCAGCTAAAATCGAAGGATTCTTAATAGAAAAACTTCTCAAACAGAATCTCTTCCTCCCAGCTAGCTTTAAATTTAAATAAATGAAAAACAAAGGACAAGAATATGTAGAAGAACAACAAATACAGAAAATGGAATTTGTTAAATAGCTACTTCATCTTCACAGATCAAATCCCTTTTCAAGGAGTGCTGACAAAGGTGACAGACAACTACAGATTTTATTTCTTCTCAGTGTAGCAATCTAAGAATAGGATTTAAAGGAAAACACAAAGATGTTGCAATGAGCCTTTCCTTCTCCTAACATGTTTCATATTAAGACTCACACCTTTATCATCTTGCACTAAATTTATTAGGAAGACAGAGTAATTAACACTATAAGCAAGTGCCACACAGACCTAACCTACATGGGAACTGTGGGCACTACCATTCTGTCTGGAATTAGCACTGAGGTTACCATCAAGAAACAATACCGCAGATGCCACAAAAGGTACCGTCTTATGCCTGAAAATGCCTCTAGTGTTTTCTGATAATTCACTACCAAAAAAGACATACTGATTGCTCAATCTTTTTCAAAACATTTCTAGTCCAGAAGAAGTTGAAGAAAAATTTGTAGCTTGATTATTGGAGCTATGGCAAGATGGAAAAAAAAAAATGCACAGTATATTGTAAACTGATCCAAACAAAGTGTTAGAAAGGCTGAAGTGAGTAGTTACAAGGACCTGATATACAGTAAATGTCAATTTATTTCTTCTCTTAAAGATGTGTTTCATAAACCACTTCAAATGTGAAGAATCAAAGTTCTTCAAAGTCTTTTTTTATTTTTATGCACTATTTAAAAGTGCACACATAAAAGAGGCATAGCAAAACACGTATAAAAAACCCAAGACCTGAACTTTAACTTGAATAGTTTACAGCTGAATAATAGGATTCCGGGGGGGGGGTGGGGGGGGGGGGGAAAAAAACCCCCTTCAGCTGTTAATGAAATATTTTAAAACATTGATGCCTTGATAAGCCCATGAAAACATCAAAGTCTTTTGGGAAACCTTAAAAAATATTAGTGAAAATAAGAACCTAAAACCCCTGTTAACGCAGAACAACTTTATAATGGCTTTCCTTTACCTTACTAAGGACAAGTTTAAAGAAAATCTTTTTGCAGAAGCACTGTAGAGCTACAACTCTAAATGCCACCCAGGCCAAGAGCTGACAGAACACATCAGCTTCTAGAAACAAAAGCAAAATATATGACAAAGCAAAACTTGACAGTAGCCCTAAAGCTTTGCCAGTGTTAATAGCTTTGGCATCTGTTCCAGTCTGAACATGTCTTCTTATTCCTTGCACATTCCCCACTCATTTCACCTAAAAAAAAAAAAATCTTCTGTGGCAATCCAGTGCCCTATGAAACTCCAGGGATAGGTCTATTTAAAAAAGAGTACCTTTCAGAATGTTTTTTTAACAGCAGCAGGCTGTATGGCCTTGGCTACATTTTGATGAAACTATTTACAACCAAAATGTGTTGGGTGCTACAAGGAAACACCAGAGAGATGTTTTTACTGCCAACATGCTTAAAGCATTCAGAGTTGGATACTTCTGCGAGAATGCATGGAGCTTGTTTCACATATGGCTATGACTATCAAAAAATAGCACCCCAAATTATTTCCAGCTACTGTATGGGACTTTTTACACTAGTCAATACCCTTGTAACCTCTTGGAAAACTAGACCTCCATCAGAGAACTTATGAACAGATTTTCAAAGTGACCAGTTACCAACAATTTATTCTATTGGTATTAACTTCTAATAGGCAAAGTTACATAAAACTATTTTTTTTTTATAATTCTAGAATTCTTGTTTATAAATACAGTATTTTCAAGCAATAATGAAGTTTACATCTTTTTTTCATATGTATTTCTTCCTGGAGGAAACTAATTTCCTAGAGAGACACCAAATTCAAGGACCATTAGGTTCCTCTAGTTCTTCAGTTTTCCTCTGCTAGTCAGGAGAAAACAAAAAACTTCCAACCTCAACAATATGAAGCATATTAGGAAAGAGCAGAATCTTACAGAGACCTGTCCTTCACCAGATGGTATTAAAGAGGAGAGAAGGTGCCTAAGCTATTGCAATGTAAAAAAAAAAAAAAAAAAAAAAATTTACACTCATGTCCATGCAAAATTATTACTCACTGCAAAAATAGAGAAAATCAGAATCACAAACTGAGAAAAACTAAACACTTAGCTACTATCTCATGACATATCCTCTTCTTATACATACAAACTGAAGCAAAAATACATAGTTGCTAGTGAAAAAGCAGTACACAGCAAAAAGATTTAGAAATAGTCCTTGGAGAAGACACACAAAATGCTTACATGGATAAGAAAAGGTAATAAAACCATGCATCCCACTTCCTATAGATATTTATTTTGTTTTTATTTTCTTTTCCAGTTTGTGGAAGAAAAGTTACTCTTGTCAGAAACATTTTGCAAAGACAGCAATTACTGTTTTTAACAGATAGCTAAGATTTTTGGTAAAACAGCAACATTTTTTACCTTTTAAAAAGTCTTCTTGAAATATAATACATTAAAAGGTTTTTCTGGGGAGGGGGTGCAGCTTTTAGTAGATTGCTTTTTAAAACCACCTAAACATCACATTTCCCAGATCCATTTGCCTAATGAAGTCACCATATTGCAATTAATATATGATAGAGATGGTATTTTAGTCAACAGAAGGTATCAATTAGAAGACCCATTCTATTTCCCCTTCTATATGAGCAGTCTAGCTCTGTATGGGAGACTCAGGATAACTGACTGACTCACACTTAATAAGAATGCCTCTTCTGATACATAATCTCAAGTAATATTTGTACATCCAGAGATATTCAAATCAATATGACCAATATGAAATACATTTCACTGTTGATAAATACATTTGGGGCTAGAGTCTCCCTCATCAATATCACAATTGGGTAAAAAGAAAGGACAGCATCAGGGAGTGAATGGGACTGCCCTAAATCCCATCAGCTGGAAACATTCCCCAAAGAACTGATTATGACCAGCTGGCTGCAAACTACAGACATTTGGTCTAGACTCACAAAAGCATTTCATGTGTCTCCGTCCCATTGATTTCAGCAGGCACAGACTTTTAAATGCTTGTAGGAATCTGGGTCATCTCCCCGTCCTAGCCCGTGGTTTAACAGTTCTGTGCTTTCAAGTAAATTTGGGACTTCCTCAGACATAGGAAAGCTCTAGCTAGTAGGATGTAGTCAGAATCTGCTCTTTTTGTGCCCACTGATTAATGTGAAAATGAGGCTGAAAATTCTCCATTCATAATTAAAACTCCTGTTCTTCCATTTGGCTCCATCCCATTTGGCTCACTGAAGAGTGCTTTTAAGCCTTACTGGCTTCAGTTGCAGGACTGGTCCCCAGTGGACACTATTGTCATTATAGCATTATGTTTGATTTGGTTTTCCTGACTCTCTTCACTGAGAAGCAAGAGACTCCCTCTTCCAGGGACACTAAAATCTCCCTTTATAAATACAAATGGAAAGTGTGAAAAAGTAAAGTAAAAGCAACAAGAACACAAAAGTAAACCAAGTTGGGTTTTGCTGGTTTCACAATTTTAAAGCAAATTTATATGTGCGTTTTATAATACATAACTACTTTATTGTGGGAAGCTTTAAGGCGTGAGAATTGTTGGAAGAGGGTCTTTTGTTGGGTTTCTTTGGTTTTAGTTGTGGTTTGGGGTTTGTTTTGGTTTTTGGTTTTTTGTTGTTTTTTTGAGTTTTGAGTTTTGCAAGGGGAAAGGCTAGGCCATGAGACATTTTCTTAAGCTGAGAATTTTTTAAGAACAGTGGTTGCTCAAACACAAATTACCTTCAACATGAAGAGCTGTTATAATTCAGAAATACAGCCTTTGTAATGGCCTTAAAATTTCAACGTTTTTCTTAAGTAATTCTTACCAAATTTTTGAAGAGTGCAGTTAATTCCTTTGTAAACACAGAAAATTTTAAAAACGCTGTTCCCAAATCTGGGTCATCCCTGCAAACACAGTTGCCTCCGAATTTCTCCAGTGCTTGTGTATACTGTTCTTCATTTTCCACGTGAGCTTCAAAAAGAGCAAAACATGAAAATATCATCAGCAGATAAAAGGTTATTGAAATTATAATTGAGGTTTTTTTAAAAAAAAAACTTTTCAGAAGATTTCTTGCTAAAAATGTTTACTTGATACAATAAACATTTATTATTTATATTTTAACACCGATATGCCAGAAGTATGACGTATCTCACTAATTCTGGTTTATGTGTTATCTATCCACATGCTGTACAAAGGACAGTGTCATCAAGACAAGACAGTCATCTGATAGGTATGCAACTCTAGAAAGACCCACAATATTTCTGCACCATACCAGCAATTGCATAACAATTCCCAACTCATTATATGAACTTTTAGAGTCTTCTATTAATGCTCTCTAATTTTAACTGTGCACTGTTATGTTTAAGTGTGTGCTGAACAAAGAAACAGAGGAGATCAAGTGTGTTGGCAGAGTCCTGGATCTCTACAGTAGAAGGCAATAGATCAGATAAGACTCCTAGGTCATCTTAGGAACTGGGACTACAAACTGCGTTACAGATGAAGACAAAACCCGTATCTACATTAGCTCTCCGACACAGAGCAGCAGTGGGGACGTGAAGCAATTCCTAGCAGCCTGCATTTACCACAAGCCAGTTCAGTTCTCAAAGCACTTCTGGTTCACGACAACTGGAGCCCTTTCTGAGAGAATGATACCAGAAGCTCTGCCCCAGAAGTGGTGCGGTGCTTAAAGGAGACAGCAGGTTCTGAATCACTGTGTGGGATGCACCAATGCAAGTCATCCAGCACACACCTAACACTTCTGCCTTTTAGAAAGCTTTGAGCTGCACGTGTTGGGGGGTTATTCAGCTCAAGGAAAGAGATGAAACCTAGGCCTAAAGCAAGTTCCCCTGATTCAAATATAAAGGAAATCTGAGGGGCCTCAGTCTTAACTACTTCAACCTACTGATTCACGCCTAGGACACCAGATTACTTGCTTCTGTAGACAGGCATAAGAAGTCCCTGTCAATTTGATCTGTGGAATAAAACAAAAAGTCTTTCTGAACCCAAGCTTAGCAACCATGTCAAGCTTGAGCACATGAACAAAGCACACCAAGTTGGCACCTGAGAAAGTGTTTCCTATTTTTTATTCTAGCTGTGGCCAATTTTTAACACTTCAAAGGAAGCCAGGAAAAAAATCCACACTCTAGAAAACAAATTATGCATTAATAAGACCAAAGACCCTTTCTTGGTCATTGCATGAGACCAGCATAAACCCTGAAGATTATTTAGAGAGGATTAATCTGTTCAAACAGGCAATGATCCAGTTTCATTTCAAGCCCATTTGTATACGTCAACACATTTAATATTCAAAGGATTCTTGATACAATGTCCTTTCTCCAAATTTCTACGAATTAGTTATACAACCTGTTCAATAAACCTGGCATGCTCCAACTTAAAAACAAGCCCATCCACCTTCCTATTTGGACAGCCATTCAAAAACTTCATTTCTCAAGTAGCTACAAATTTTCTTTAATTTCCAATATATGAAACTAAAACCCTGTGGAGTAGCGGTATAATATTGTGTAATTAAAGACCGTCATAATGTATATGCAGAATTGAAGTTACACAAACGGCATTAACTCTACAAGTTTCTACCCTGAGGGCTTGAATTTGCAGCCTGTAAAAGATAGTTTGCATATAGCCATTCAATTTAAAAAACAAGTCCTAGCACTGAACTGTACTTATTTTTCCTCAGCATCAACAGCAGGGGCTGAGTGCTTACCACGCTTTTTGCTACGTGAGCTGGAGGATGAAGCAAGGATGTTCAACTAAGACTATTGTGTGCCGTACACATACCTGAACAAGCTTTGAATGAACCGGCACAGACAGCAAAAAACAGGATGTGGCAGGTCACAACTCCTCTAGTTCACACAGCTACCCAGTAAGGTGAATTATTTCCATATTGCTTTCTGCATTCTTACTCCTTCCTGCAGCCAGCTTAGCGTATTTGAACCCAGGTGAGGGTGGAGGTCAGGGCACAATTCATACAGCAAAAAGAGAAGGCTGCCACTGCATGAAAACAGGGTGAAAAGGCTGCTACCATTAATTGCTGTAGTTAGATGTGCAACTAGCAGCTAAACCATGCTGGCTTTATACCTTAGGAAACAAGAGCTTTCTATTCCATACAGCATCCCCAAGAGTTCTCTATTCCCCAGCATCCTAGGGACCGTTCTTCTGGATCTATGTATCAGATTAAACAAAGTCAACAAACCAGCAGCTCAACAGCAGTTCTGAGACATTCCCCAGAATGCTGATGGTAGTTATTGCAGCAATACTATTAGCTGAGCTGGTGCTCCAAAAGTGCTGGTATTTTTTCACAGAACCCTCCAAAATACTCTCCTTGCCCTCTGGTTTCTTCCTGATAGATTTTAAAGGTTTCTCTACAAACAAAAGCTTTGGAATCTATCAAAAAAAATAAATAAGCCAGGTTTCTTTGAGGGTTTAAAGGCTTTTTCTAAATAAGAAACTAAATTATGTACAAATTGGAGTCACTATCTAATTCTCTATAATGGTTTCTAAATTCACACATTAAAAAAGAAAGCCAAAATATGTATACTTAATACTCAGGAAACCTATATTAAAAATACAGTAACTGTGTTCTTACAAGTGCAGGGCCACAGTTTTTGTTTTGTCTAAAGAAACCCCAAGGGTTGGCACGTGGCTGGGTTAGTGATATTTCTGCTGGTGGAAGGGCAATGCCTCCAAACCTTTATTGTTGTCATGGTTTAACCACGCAGGCAGCTAAACACCACACAGCTGTTTGC